TGCCAGAATAAGAGTTTTCATGGTTTATCTTATTCTGCTTCCAAAGCACGTAAGCCTAAGTGGGAAAGGGTACTCTTATACTGGAGTAAGTTTCCACACTGAGCTAGTTATATTGGTATAATTATGCATTTTTTCCTTCAGTGTAGACAAGTCCCTAGTGCCTTTTCAGCTTTGAACTTCAGTTAAGAATTTCTTGGTTGTGATAAGTGTCTGAGCATTTTCATAGTATATTTTTTATAATGGGACTGGGGTATTTAAACCAATTACTTAGTCCAATTAACAGCTTCCTGGGTTGTGGATAACAATAGGATATAAAAGGGGATCAAAATTCATGTTCCTAGCTGCTTGGATGTATCTGCCTTTTCTTTCTTCCCCCTCTGTGGTTTTACAAGTACGCAGTGTACAATGCAACAGGTGGAGTAGTCTGTGACTGCCTAATGAATTCTGTGTTGGACATTTTTTGTCTCCTGTTTCTCATTATTCCTCAAGTTTTGTTGTGCTAGGGCTCTAATTGCATGCATCTCTGTGGATCACGGAAAGAAGCTTCCTTGATGAAGTTGAGAAAAATGCTTCCAAAAATATTAATTGTTTGGGGAATGGCTGAAATTTATTGATCTTCACACAAGACAGTTAGGACCATAATTGACTTGCTAGGCACAGGTTGTACAAGGAGTAAATCAAGTTGGATGCAGAGGGGGGGAGGGCGTGGGTGCTCTTCTGGTGTGTGATGCGGTCAGAGGGAGGGTGATGTTGTGTAGAAGATACGTTTGGTGAGGATGATCTCTCTTGCCTTGCTCAGTCAGAAGTGGCTGCCTAGAGAGAGGTATTTACATGGACGGTGCTTTGATGTTGTCCAGCTTCTCTGGTTCTCTTCTGCCCGTATCTCCTTTGCTGCTTAGAGTACAGCATGTCTCATGCTTACCTTTGCACTATCCCAAAAATAAGAATATGTAAACATTTCTTTACAGTATTTTAGCAATTTCTGCAAATATGAACAAAAATTCCTTAGAAACAGTTTTTCCTAATGACTGGTTTATAAACATACCTTTTTTCCCCCCTCTTAATTTCTTGTATCAGTATTTCTAGTATGTTTGTAATGTTTTATACATGTTGGCTCATTGTGCCAGAAATTGAGGCTTATGACTGACTTCAAATGGAAAGCAAATTGCAGAAACAGGAGAAGTCTTAAAATAAAATAGAGATGATGTAATAACCTTCAAATCATAGAAGAGCAAGGCTGGAAGGGACATCAAGAGGTTACTTAATCTGTCCCTCTGCTCTGAGGCAGGATAAAACAGACCTAAACCATTCACGAGAGATGTTGCTCTGTCTGGTAGTAGTAACGGACTGAGAGAAAAAAGGAATTATTTATACATATGCTTCCCTCACCCCAAGCTTTGTGCAAGCTGAACTTGGTGTAAAATTGGTGCGAGAGGATATGTGGATTCACAGAGGATTGTTTCAAATGTCTGAGTTGTTGTTTCTTGGGTTTGGAAACAATGCTTTCTGTCAAAATAGTCTAATAATATTTGTGTAGTTTTGAGTGTAATGCCTACTTCTAATTTTAACTGGTAGTCTGTTGTTCAGGTGTATTTCTTACTGAAATGATTCTTTTTCTGTGTTAACTTTGTAACCAGTGTCTCATCTTCTTGGGCATTGAGCAATTTAGTTTAAAAATGTGTAGCATTTCCTTTTCATCCTTGACAGTATTTCTGGTGTATAATCAATTTCGGGTTTCCTTTTTTTTAATTCAATTTCTTTTTCTGTGTGAAAAGAACTGAGCAAAAAAAATCTAGGGGTAGGAGTGTAAAGGGAGAAGGGAAAACATGTATTCAAGAAATCATAGTACTTGGCAGAAGAGCTGGGCTTAGCTGAAATACCAGGTTAGATATGAAGTGAATAATGTGGCTTTAAGAAAAGATCTTTTTTTCTTTGAAGAATAAATAGAATGTATGTTTCAGAATTTTACACATGGTATCTGCAGCTCTTTAATCCTAAATTGAAGTTTGCAAATGAGTGTCGGATGAATAACATCTTTCTAAATTGAACAATACCTAAAATTGGAATTGCAGATACCCTGTTGCTAAAATGAGCCTTTGGGCTTGTTTGCTCTGTTTTGCCTTTTAGTTATATCAGCTGAGAAACATCTGTCTTTGCTGCTAAATGATCTCTTCTGACTAGGCCAAGCGATTTTGACAGAATGAACTGTCTTCAGCCCTCATCAGCTGCAGGAAGAGAGGCTGCTGTAAGTTGCAGCCTTGGAGAAGGGAGAAAGACTAGATGTAAATATACTGAAATTGCTGTTGCCCTCAGAAGTGGCTTACTTGGATGTACAGGAAAGATTCCCCATACCTGTACTGCTTCAGTGTTTATGAAGATAGTAATTTCCTTCTCTTTCTTCCCATTTAATCTGATTGTTAATTTTAATTCTGTTCTAGACTTGGTAATTATAGGAAGTTGGGAATACTGTATTTTGGGTTGTGCCCAAAGGGGGCTTATTAACCCTGAATGTCCTCTCTAATAAATAAAGGAGTTTCTTTTAAGTGCTTTTAGGAAAGCTATGTTGGTGTTTTCACATGATGGCTGATGTGGGCTCTACTAAGGACTGGGAAATAAGAGGTGGGCATAGAAGTGGAAAGAAGCCGAAAGTTTTCAGGCAGACAGAATCTGAAAATAATGGTTTCTGCTGTGGGAGAGGAGAGGAAATTCTATGAATATGGCATAGTCATGTTTCCTGTTAAATTATGCTTTTTGGATGAGAAATACTGAAGAAGTGGATCCAGCTTTCCTGCTTTCATATTTCTCAGACCAGATATGTCTTACATGTTGATTTTTAATTTAATTTTCAATAGTGTGATATTAAAAGAAAATTATGATCGTATATTGAAAGCACATGCCTTCTTTGTACAGAAACTGGAAGTTCTGGATAGTAGCTCTACTAAAACCATGCACTTAATTCTGCACATCCAGGATAATTTATTGCAGAGATATTCATACTCATGATTAATCCTACTTCCCTATTTCTGCACTTACCCATGTGCATGCGTTATATGCATGTGTTTCTTTGTGCTGAGATGCTCTAGGTTGTTTCATAGTCTGCCAGTGTTTGTGGAAGAATTTGTCCCTTTCGGAGTGATTGCGAAAGAGCAGTGAAGACTTAGTAACTTTTGCCTGTTTTGAGTGAGAATTAGGTGAAGGCAGTAGAGTTAAACCAGAATTTTACCTGGTTTAAACCCATGTAAAATTTTTTTTTGCAAGTAAGCCATAGGGAAAGTTGTATTAATATCCAGATATGTTTTAGGAGGTCTGTTCTGTAGAGTTGTTTGGGAGTCATTCTCAAAGCTCTGCAAATTTTTTGTTTAAAACCTGTGACTATTAGAGCTGATAATCTTTTAAAATCAGTGAACCTTTTAATTTTTTTGCTAGCATTATTTATTTTATTTACAAAACATGTTTGTATAAATACATATGTTGATCTAAAGAACATTTTTTTTCTTCTAGAAATTAAAGTTTAAAGCTGAACACATCCCTTAATACTTTGAGTTTTTGGCTTGCTATTTGTCTCTTAGAATGGGTGCTACATGCTAAGTACACTAAGATTTCTGCTTGGAACTACCCTGTTGCAGAGTGTTCTCACTACCACCACCACCTTTAAAGGGAAATTTACAAATCCTGTAATATTTGTCCTTCTAATTCTAAAATCCAGCTGAAGCATAATCCCCAGGAGTGTTGTTTTGCTGTTGCAATGTAATCTTTTTCAGATGATACATGATTTAGTTGGAAACAAATTAGCAGCTATGCATGCCTAAAGAAAGCAATTTAATAAACAAGATTTTTGTAAGACCTAATCAGAATTGTAAAATGATACTTGGGAATCAGTTACATTATACAAAAGAGCTGGTGTGAATGTAGGCATGCGTGTGAATTCATGGTTTCCAATCACATTGTTCTCTCAAGTAATACAGGGGCTTTGACCTTCAGTCTACTGTTTCTTCTAATTTATTACTTAACTATTAAATGGTTTCAGTCAATAATGAAAATTTCCAGTCATAACTGTAGTTTGTTCGGGTGATTGATTTTAATTTTTATTTTAACTACTGTGTCAAAAGCAGCGTGGCCAGCAGGTCGAGGGAGGTGATTCTGCCCTTCTACTCCGCTCTGGTGAGACCCCACCTGGAGTCCTGCATCCAGCTCTGGAGCTCTCAGCACAGGAAAGACATGGACCTGTTGGAGTGGGTCCAGAGGAGGGCCACAAAAATGATCAGAGGGGTGGAACATCTCTCCTGTGAGGACAGGCTGAGAGAGTTGGGGTTGTGCAACCTGGAGAAGAGAAGGCTCTGGGGGGACCTTCTTTCAGCCTTCTAGTACTTAAAAGGGGCTTAGAAGAAAGATGGAGACGTACTTTTTAGCAGCGCCTGTTGTGATAGGACAAGGGGTTTTAAACTAAGAGGGCAGATTTTGACTAGACCTAAGGAAGAAATATTTCACACTGGGAGTGGTGACACACTGGCCCAGGTTGCCCAGAGAGGTGGTAGATGCCCCATCCCTGGCAACATTCCAGGCCAGGCTGGACGGGGCTCTGAGCAACCTGGTCTAGTTGAAGCTGTCCCTGCTCATTGCAGGGGGGTTGGACTAGATGGCCTTTAAAGGTGCCTTCCAACCCAAACTAATCTATGATTCTATGAAAAAAGCTATTTTCTAATGCTTTAAATCACCTGCTGCTGGTGAATTTGTTTTGCTCCTTCCCAGAAAGTTAGTTCCATGCTGCTGACAGTGCCTGTGTTGATGAAGAAGATCATTATAAATGCAAAATAATCACAGGCAGGTAAAATCATCAAAATTCTGTTGCTCCAGCTCCACAATAGGGATGTCTAGCCCCAGATTCATTATCTGTATCTAGTTGACCCTTGGACTGAGCTGATACTGCTGGTATGTCTCTAACTGGGACAGTGGATTTTTATGATGTTCAACCAGCGTGCTACAGAGACCATTACGGAACGATGGCAAAAAAAGATAAAGCAGTCAGTGTCCAGGTAACTATTAATATTTTGCACTATTTACAACCAAGTTTCAGCCTCTACAAGAAACAGTTTTAATGTAGAAAATATGTTACAAGAGAAGCAGTTGCTTGGCAGTTGAAGTGACGGGACTTCTGTTATAGAGCTGAGCTTGCCTTCTAATTATCCTCATCCTAAATACATCCTTCAGGAATTTTGCATATACTTGCTCTAGCTAGGGGCTTTTCCTGTTTTCTTATTTAATTAAGACCATTTCTTGCATAATAATAATGATAAAAACTGTTAGCATTGAAAAGAGAAATTGCTAGATTAATGAGTAAGCTACCAGCTACGAGGCTGGAAACCAAGAAATACAGAAAGTCAGTGCTTTACAATTCTTTTTCATGTCCCAGTCTGGTGTCACTTGGTATGAGTAGGTTGATAGATTTTTCTCCTTTTTCTGAGCTGCTTTTCTTCATGGTGAGGATTGTAACCCTTAAAACTCTTTGGCCACCATTTCTCAGTGTAGCCGGAACATTCTGAACTTCCCTTAGTTGCAATCTCAAGTTATGGCTATGAAAAAGGAAAACAACCTACTGCTTTTGTTTGCCTGGTGGAGTTTTCTGTTCTGGTATCCTTTGAAGCCTCCTTTTATGCTTCTCTATCCCACTATCCTATCTGCTTTGTAAGTGGGTGTTGTGTCGTCATTCCCCCCCCCCCACCCCCACCCCCATTTTATTCATCATGAACTCAGAGACCTGCAAAAATAGAATAAAATTGCATTAGAGTCTTTACACTAAAGCAACTCATGCTGTGTGCCTGGAAGAGAGTGCCAGGCACTTCGCAGAAGGGAGTGGAAGATCATCTTTGACAGCAGTCAGGGATGAGAGTAAGAGCTGGGGGGAGGCGGTGGGAAGTGGGGCTTTGTTTTCTAGAGTATCCACTAAATTCTAGTGTTATCTGGACTCTGATTTATTCTGGAATAGCTTTCTGGTGAGGTCCATTACAAATGCCAGCAGTTGAAGAGTTGTCATTTGTTTTTTTTGGAATAGTGTAATCTCAGAGCATGGCCTAGAAATTTTAAATATGTTTAATTCAGGAGTGCTTGATGAAATCTAGTGCATAAGGTTGAATTTGAGGAGTTGAGAGGCTTATTTTTGGACTTACCTGAGAAATAGGTCAGTTTCTGAGAGGCATTAATACTGTTCCAAGTGATCTAGCAAAAACTTTAGGTGTGTGTTGGTTTGTTTTTTTTTTAAGAAAAATGTTTCCGGATACCCTTTTCCTTTTGAAAGTAGGTTTCTGAAAGTTGAGAGTACCCTGTTACAACCTATGATGTGATTTCTCCATTCTAAAACCTTGTAAAGGTTTTTTTTTCTCCCTTAGCCTACCCATTTCTGACTCCTAGTCCTGTTTCTTGTTGATAATAACTGACATCAGTCTCCCCAAAGTCTTCAGGTCTTGTTCCTTGTTAAGAGTGCATCTAATACTTGTTATTATGAGAGTGAAAACCCAGTCACAGAAAGGTGAAGTGTTGTGCTTGTGTTTGCATAGCAGGTCAGCTGCTGAGCCAGGAATAGAAGCCCTGTCTTATGACTCAGTGCCCCAACCGCTGGCCTGCGCCGCCTCTCCGGAGCGCTGGTCGCTTCCAAGAATGCAGTAGCGATGGGGTATAGAAGTAGCTACAGCAGGTATAGGAGCTTTGCTTCCAACTCTGACAGGGCTTCAAGACTTATACATAGCTTAAAGTACCGGGGGATAAAAAAGATTTCTAAAGGAGCTCCTAGACAAGTTCTTTAAAGTTACGGTTTGCTTTGCTCTGTTTAAAAACAAAACCAAAACCAAATCTGGTTGAAAATAGCTTTCCAGAAGGCTGTGGATGTGGAAAAAAAAGTTTTATGTGTTTGAAAGTCAAACTCTGCTCTGCAAATAACCTTAAGAGTGGCCTGTGATTAAATCTTTTGTATATTCAACAACAAACTCATTTTATGCAACCGCAACTATGATAAAATTGAATTAAATGGACCTGCCTCTAAGAAAAGAGACTGAATAGCTGAGTAGCGCATATTCAATGAATGGAAAACGGGAAGGCTGGCTGAAATGGCTGGGAGATGGTTTTAACATTCTATCAGGCTAAAGAGCAATTCTGTGAAATCACAGTATTTGTTTCCCCCACTACCTCCCCGCCCTCAATTTTTAAATAGCAGTGCTCTTCATACTGTCAGAATTCAGTGTTGTGACACCCCTACTCAAAAGTTATGACAGCAGTGTAATGACAGCTACTGCCTCTTGAGAATCAATCAGGCAATTAATTTTGTAAATGAAATGCTGATTATACAAAGCTTCACATGAGAGGCCCAGTGATTAAAATCAATTTAACAAATTGTTTCAGGTGGGACTTGATTAATAATTTGCCATAAATGCTGAGGATATATGACCAGCATACCTTTTTGTGTGTGTTAATATAGAACTATATATGACACTTGGAGTGGAAAAAATCTGCAGCTAGCTGTATGTACTTCTGGCCTGTGACCTGGTTGTGATTGGTTATACCTTTTTGTGGGTACACTGATCTCCCCAGTGTCCGTAATGTTACTTTCTCATCTAGTGCACTCTCCAGCAATTAAGTACATCTAACCTTTAATTTTATTTTTGCTAATAAAGCCAAATAACTGAGAATGTGTATTTCAATCCACTTGAATACTTATTAGGTTGAGGGATATTTTTCTTTCAAATGTGAAGTGGATGTGGGATTTCTTTCATTTACTTCCCTCCCCTCCCCCTTCTGTCACTTACTGTTTTTCAGGAGTTTCTGCGTGTTTTCCCTCCTACTCCAGTACTTCTCTGCAGGGAGCCTTCCTGCAGAGATCCGCTCATTCCATTCGAGGCTGCTCTCTGCTACTTGCCTGACGGACACTTATTTTTAGTACATCCTTTTCTGTCCATCTAACCCTGTGTTTGAGTAAGAGCTGTACAAAGTAGGTAAGGGAATTTTTTTTGAGTTCCAGATGGTGGCCATGGACAGTGAGTGAAGGTGTTTACTTTTCCAGGAAGCTGAGAACCCCATTGCCAGGCAAAATAGAAGTAAATGGTATTCTGGGTGGAGCTTTTCTTTTTTTTTAACTTATAGTTTTCTGGGTTTATGAACGGATTTTTTCTTCCTTGTTGAGCTGTAGCATTGGCTACTGAGGAGGCCCTATGGCTGTGAGACATCCTTTGGTGAACCTAGCCTGAGAACTTTTAAGATACTGCTTTCCCTCACTATCTGCCTCGCTCTCCTGCCAAGGGTTACTATTTCAGTAGCAGAAATGGCAGGCTAACTGTGCTCAACGTCTCATATGCTCCAGTGCCAGAGCTGTTGTATTGGTGCAAAACCCACCCTACATGGAAGTTTTAAGTTCAGATGCTGGACTGTGGTTGGAAGTAGCAGAAGCATGGTCACGATCTGGCAGCAAGTAGGAAAAGCAGCTGGAATCAGTCATGTGTTGTGTGGTCACAGACAGGTTTGCTAGAAGATGTCTGTAAGAACCCCTAAATTCTGCCGCCCTAGAAATTACTTCCAACTTGCTGAGGAGCACTTTTGCTAGAAGACTAGAGCTTCTGCTTGTGTAAAGGAAGGTGGTCTCCTCTGTGTGGAACATCCAAGTTGGAGAAAACAAATACCAGGATAGGAAGATAATTCCCGAGTACTCTTGGACGAAGTCTGGAATTAGGAAAGTGGGTTACAGAAGAAGGCTGAATGTTCAAGTGATGGGGACAGATGACATTCCTTCGGTTGCCTTTGGAGTAATACCCCTGTATGTTGGTATTTGGCAGTGACAAATGCAACTTGAAGGGCAGCAGTTCCGACTGTATAGCCATGTGAACATGTCGGAAACATAGGATTGTTTTGGCCATCAGGTGTGATAAATGTGTATAATTGCTTTTTGATGTCATCTTAACCTTTGCATGCACTCCTAGTGGTAACTGAAGAGGGTAGTTGTATATACTTTGTTACAAACAGATTTAGTTTCTTTGCTATGTTCATTGTTATTTGTTCTTTCACTAGTCATTTAGGTTTATCTATGTACAAAATAATAAATAGAGAATGGCTGACTCGCTGACCTTCCAGTTTTCAGGTTGTGTTAAAGAGGACCCAGAAGAAAACAGAAAAACAGGCATGCATAAATCCTTCTCCCCCACTCCACAGAGAGACTTGCTTGTATAATTATTTATAAATGTTGTAGTGGAATAGTAGTTGATTTTTGGTGGGGCATAGCTTTGGTTTTTCTCTCTTTCCCCTTTTTAATTACTTTCTGTTTTGAGTAGGAAATTATCTTTCTGATATCTCCCTGCCGCTGAAATCAGACAGTATGCAGAGCCTTTAAGACGAGGAAAATTGCTATTTTTGTTAAATCTCTGCTAGTATATGCTTCTTCATTCGTTGGATTTTCCTTCATCATAGGCTTATGTTGAACTTGGGTCTTTGTTTTTGCTTATTGCTTGTTGTGTTTGCACAACTGACTTCTTAAACTTACATTTCAGTAAAGTACAGGCAGGTGACTTCCTATTTCAAAAAAATAGCAAGCATGTTTGCCAGTCACCTCTCAGATTTTAATATTAATGTAAGTCAGAATTTAATGCTGTACATGAATTTTTTTAATAGTTGTTTGCTTCTCTCTTAAATGGATATTTAAAAAACATGTAACAAGTAGTGTTTTGATACTCATGCTTTTGTCGTGTAAAAATGTTGGCTGAGGATTCCTTGTACATGTTCGTACAAATGATGGCATTATCTAGGAATGGATTATCTTTTCCCCAGTTGCGTCCTCATGCCAGCTGTGTCATTGTATTATAGTGAATACTTGTGATTATCTCTAGTGATAAATTTGTAACTTCGTGCCCGACCTAGAGCTGAGAGCTCCATGCCCATCTTTCTTGGAGTGTTGGTTGCTGATTGTCAGCTGTCTTTATTATGAGGTTTCAAGGCTTTGGTATTAATAAAGAGGCCTTTTTTTTAAATACGGAGACAGAAGCTTTGGCTGCAGATCAATGAA